CCCTGGTAAATCTCACCAGTCACCAGTCTTTGTGGCCTTTTATAAAAAGCCTTTGGGGCCTTGTGTCGATGTCACTTCCTGTTTCCTTAATCATCGGTCGGGAATCGGGATAGCCTCTGACGTCCTTGCCTTTAACCCACACAGTGCCGCACACGCCACGCCATGCTGCAAGGCATCATGGGTCACCACCGCCACCACCCCGGTGTGTTGCTTCATCAGCAGTCCGCCCAGAAGCGACCCAGGCTCAGAGCTCAGAGCTGACACGGTCCAGATCCGATTATGATGCTAATACAGGCCTGAACAAGAAGCCTCTATGTCCCCACTGAGACTGACTCACAGCCAAGCAGCCACAATGGGTGGGCTAAGACCATTGGCTCAGACCAGAGCAGAACTGTACAGCACTGGACTGACAGGAACTGAACTGAGATACAATATCAGCCCTGCTTCTCCCTCAGCAACAAACACAGACACATACCAAGTCTGGGAAACAAGAGTGGCACTGTGTCTGAGTCCCCTATGTTTGTGGAAATTATTTCTCAAGTTATTTCCTGCTTGGTTATGAGAAACCAACAAGTCTTTAGTCATAACAAGGATGTTTGTATTGCATATGAAGATTGGTGTTAGTCAATGTAAAATTGATGACACTCTATATAATGTTATGGTAAGGGAAGGCAACATAGCTCTTGGAGTCTTGTATGTAGAGCTTATCATGGCCAGTGGATTGTCTGATACATAAACATTCCACTTGTCGTAAACAGGCCCAGTCATAGATAAGCATGAGTCTGTAAGTACTCACACTTTGCCACCACACATAGTACACACATTGCTGTATTCTCCAGATTAGATGCTATCTAATGGAACAATGCAGCAGTGTTAACAGCTCCTACATTATTCATACATAGTATCTGTTGTGTGGGTGTTTGTCTGACACTGACCTCACTCTCATCCTTTAACATACTCAGATTCACTTTCTCGCTGAAGACATGGAGAACAATAAAATGCATAAATAGATATGATTTAATTTCCTCTTTTATAATATACCCAGCTGACATTGGGACGTTAATTTTATTTTCCCCCCTCCTTTTTTCTTTTTACATAATTTCCGGCATCTGCTCTTTTACTCTGTACCTTTTCTTTCCAACAGTTACTCAACGTTTGTCTCGTTGCTGTTGTCGTGGCAGATCAGAAACGGCCTGCTGTTATTCTGATCATAGTATAAGATGGAAAATTTGTGTTTTTCTGTTCCGGTCTGGGAATCGGAGAGCTGAGGTGGATGGCGCCTTACTATTTTAATGTGACCTGTGTTCCTCTTAACTCTCTCTCACACTGGCACAAAATATAATGGACACAAGATTGCAAACACAGTGATATCATTAGTACAAAATCATGTACTAAATCCATCACTTTCTATCTATCATGGAGTGTTTGGATCTGCCTTTTACTATTTAGTGTATTTAACCTTTTACTGCAGTTGGCTAAATCAGGGTCACACAGAGTGATTATTGGTATTCTTAAACAAATCTACTTTTAAACAAAAGTATAAACCTCACACCACATGATTATGGGCTTAAAAAGAAGAAGACACCTGTACCATGTCAGATATAGAGTTGAAATATATTCAATTTAGAGTTTGCATCCCAACTTTCTATACGTCACAGAAGACTGAAATATAACAAAGCTGTTTGATATAGAAACACTGGATTTTCGTCAGGTTTTTTGAAATAATCTTTATTAATGATGAAACATATTAACAACATTCCACCCATGAGGCCAAAGAGGATGCTTTTGGTAATTGACTACAGGAAAGGGCTAGGCCAGATAAGAGGCTGCTAGATGATCCTGGCAGACAGTTCAGCCATGTGAAACCAAATACCTCCATGGGTTCTTGCTCTACTCTGGCTGAAGAGACAGATTCCCTCCTCTGTCGTTTAGAAGACCTTGGAGTATTACATCATTGGAAGGCATGACATGTCACCACCCAACCATGAATATGTTAATTTGAGTTATAGTGATGGTTGGATCACTAAGTGTTGGATTGTGTTTTATGTGTTTAGCTATCTTCTTGTGGTCTTGTGGTATGTTATCTCAAGCACTGCTGAGAGAATTCAGTAATGGGGAAACTGTTGTAAATCTTAATCTTAATACACTCCTTACTATGTTTAAGATAATAGCCGTATTCCACATGGGATATATTTGGACTAGGGAAATCCAAGGCTGTGTAGTCTCAGTTAGGTCCATATCTCAGAGCAGTCGGTATAATCAGAGAGACTGGAGTTTGTTGAGCTGGGGTTCTTGTGGTTTGGTAAGCAGCAGGTGCAAACCTCACTGCTCCCTGTCCTCCACTGATGGACAAATCCCTCAAATGACGATTTGGCTGCTTCACCGCTTAGATTTAGACAGGTCCCTGTATTGGCTCTGTGTGGACCCCATACATTCACTGAGTCTCCTATGGAGTGTTGTCTTAGTTGGAAAGCACTGAAGAACGTAGAAAAGAAGGTCTACTGCTCGGAGCCCCTCACGTCTCAGTACTCTAGAAAGGCACTATAGGCCTACCACTTGGTCTGGAGCCCCTTAAACAACCACTATTGAGGTATGTGCCCACCTCCACACAACAGATGTAGGATCTTAATTTGAGCCAGTTTGCTACTGAAGGAAAATAATCCTGCAGCAACAGGAAATGTGAATTATTATGTGGATTATAATCAATGGACATTTCAGTGGAAATTACAAACTTTAGAAGCCTTTTTAAAACTCAACTACACTGCTTTGCAGGAAAATTCCCAACAACAAGATTAATTTAAAATCCTACATCTGTATGTGTTTAGCTACTGTGGTTGACAATACCAGTGTTAAAGTAGCCCTAACATGATGTTGTTACCCTATGTTCTGGCACAGCTTTGTGTTGATTTACCCATCATCCACCTAATTTCCCTTTTCCGGATGAACTCATCCTCATTGGTCCAGGACATGTAGCTATGACTCAGTGGTGGAAAAATTAGCCAATTGTTATACTTGAGTAAAAGTAAAGACATTTAATAGAAAATGACTCAAGTAAAAGTGAAAGTCACCCAGTAAAATACTACTTGAGTAAAATTTTTAAAGTATTTGGTTTTAATATACTTAAGTATCAAAAGTAAATGTAATTGCTAAAATATACTTAAGTATCAAAAGTAAAAGTAAAAGTATAAATCATTTCAAATTCCTTTCCTTTCAAATATGAAGCAAACCAGACAGCACCATTTTCTTGTATTTTTTATTTACGGATAGCCAGGGGCACACTCCAACACTCAGACATAATTTACAAGTGAAGCATTTGTGTTTAGTGAGTCCGCCAGGTCAGTGGCAGTAGGGATGACCAGTGATGTTCTCTTGATAAGTGAATGAATTGGACCATTTTAATGTCTTGCTAAGCATTCAAAAGGTAACGAGTACTTTTGGGTGTCAGGGAAAATGTATGGAGTAAAAAGTATTCATTTTCTTTAGGAATGTAGTGAAGTAAAAGTAAAAGTTGTCAAAAATATAAATAGTAAAGTAAAGTACAGGTACCCCAAAAAATGACTTAAGTAGTACTTTAAAGTATTTTTACTTAAGTATTTTATACCACTGCTATGACTAAACTGGGTCCTGTTCAGCAGGAAGTGGCTAACTCTTTTGTGTGTGTGTTTTTGTTGTTGTTATTTATTTTTCTGCCATACCTTGAAGCGAAGTTCCCACAAGGTAGGTCCACACTGGGCAGAGCATGTGTTATATCTGTGGGAATACACACACACACCGTCTCGAGTTTCGACCTTATTTCTCAACGTACACACAGGTCACCCCTAAAACACAATCACCTGTTCAAGCCATGCTAGTGACCTCACCGACTCTCATTGAGCACTGTCCTATATCTGTACTCTGTCCAATACGGGACACTGTCCATATGTCCTCTCAGGTATATCTGTATAGCTCTGTATTGTAGGGTTTGTTTTTTACCTTAATAACTTATCTTTGGTGTCTTCATACCTGTTTTCTTTTTTTCTGTGTGAGAACGGAGAATTGATATCTGTCACTTCATGTGTGTAACCTTCTACTTTGCTTTACCCTTATACCGTTCACATGAATCAACATCTTGCTTGGCTTATGTAACTATGCCAGCAAAAGCATCTTAATTTTTCTCTATCCATTTTCTTCTTTCCTCAAAACAATCCCACTACCAATATCACATTTTTGTCTGTAAGGTGCATTTATGTGTGTAAGACAGTTCAGTCTCAGAATAGCTTTAAGATTTCAGATTTGTTTCAGAGATTGAAGCGTCTTCTACAGAAGAGGTGTGAGTGGTGCGTGTGTGTATTACATAGAGCTACGTAGATCAGCTGCTGTTTACTCCCTAGAGCGTCGACAGGATGTGATGGGGCTGAGGTGAGACGATGAGGTTTTGTCAGTAGTGTTGCCACGGTGATGCGTGTCTATCCTTCCACACACATCCGCCTCTCTCTTACACGCATTCACGGCCTTCTGTATAGGTGTGGTAGCCAAGAGGTTGCGTCCCTCCTCATTAGCCGGCTGTGTGTGTAACTCTGGTTAATGTGTGGGTGGAGAAGTCCGGGCTAGACTGTGTCTCTGGCCTCCAAGATGTATGGGAGGAGGAATGGGGAGATGAAACCTCTCCCACCTGTCAGCAGAACTTTTTAGTCTGTGGTGAATTAATTCCTCCCGTTCAAGGGTTAAGTCGGGGGTATTTGTGGCTCCTAAGGTTCTTTCCTGTTCATGTGCGTGTCTCACTCAACATACACTGTGTGTTTTATCACCAATGGCTGCTGCTGCTACTGTGACTCCCTCCACAGACCTGCACCTGTGAGTGTGTGTGTGTGCGTGCATGCTTGTGCGTATGTGTGAGTAATGTTTCTGTGTGTTTGTGTGTGTGATGTGTTTGTTGTCCTCCTCAGGCGCGGCAGCAGGCTCAGATGAGACACCAGATGGCTGCTGACAGTAAGACTGAATACTCCAACTTCCTGACCAAGTTCAACCAGGAGCAGAACGAGCATTACCACACTCTCATCCCCAATATATTCCAGGTAATACAGTACTACACTCTCATCCCCAATATATTCTAGGTAATACAGTACTACACTCTCATCCCCAATATATTCTAGGTAATACAGTACTACACTCTCATCCCCAATATATTCTAGGTAATACAGTACTACACTCTCATCCCCAATATATTCTAGGTAATACAGTACTACACTCTCATCCCCAATATATTCTAGGTAATACAGTACTACACTCTCATCCCCAATATATTCTAGGTAATACATTACTACACTCTCATCCCCAATATATTCTAGGTAATACATTACTACACTCTCATCCCCAATATATTCCAGGTAATACATTACTACACTCTCATCCCCAATATGTCACACGCATACACGCACGCACACACACGCACACACACACACAGCTCTGTGTGGAAGAAGAAAGTGTTCCAATTCTCGTATGACTCCCTGAGAGCCAATGAAAAATGTGCAACACCTCTAAAATATCAAATGGAAACCACAGTCCTTTTCACTGGATAGAGAACAATAGAGAGACAGAGAGAACATTTTCAGACCTTTCGAAAGTTCTTGAAACCACTGCGCTCAGAACTTTTGGTGGTGCGTTGACCAAATGCCTATCATGTCTTTACATATAAGTCTGTTTAGTCCTACCCCCTCAGCATTGTAGTGTGGGACAACTTCAGGGCTACTATGTTATAGCAGGTGATAGTAATAACATTGTAACAACATGCTGAAAATGATGTGTTTGTGTGGGTGTGTAGAAACTCCAGGAGATGGAGGAAAGGCGGATCGAGAGGTTGGGTATGTCCATGAAGACGTACGCGGAGGTGGACCGCGAGGTGCTGCCTATCGTAGGGAAATGTCTTGACGGAATGACTAAGGCTGCCGAGTCCATTGAGCCAAAGACTGTGAGTACACACACACACACACACACACACACACATACACACACACACACACACACACATGATTGTGAGTACAGTACTGTACCAGGTTAGAACCATGTGGGTACTATGTGTTGTTGATGGTATTCCTCCCTCACCAGAGTCCAGGCTCTCTGTATGACTCAATTCAAAAATACTGGAGCTATGTGCCCCACGCATCTGCCTCAAATGCTCATCTGCTCAGTCGTAATAGAACCTGGGATTACAACTGGTATGACTCCTTTCCCTGAAGCCCTCTCACTCACTCACTCACTCACTCACTCACTCACTCACTCACTCACTCACTCACTCACTCACTCACTCACTCACTCACTCACTCACTCACTCACTCAGCCACCTGACTCAACCAATCACCACTGGGCTAATTTAGACCCCGTCCCCAGACACTCCTACAGTTAATGGTTTCTGAGAGCGAGCTGGGAAAACAGCAGGGTAGCAGGAGCAATAATGAGAGAAAGAGTGAAGTGAGAGTAAGAGAGAGAGAGAGAGAGAGAGAAGAGAGATATGCCTACACAGAGAGAGAGAGAGGCAGTGTGGGAGACAGAGAGAGATGAGGGGGAGATGTGAAGGAGAGTGAGAAGTGAAGGAGAGAGAGGTACGGAGATGGAGAAAGAAAGTGGAAGAGAGAGAGCGAGAAGGTTCGCTGTGAGAGCGAAAATTCACAATTACACTCACAATTAAAAAACTGTCTTTGCCAACCTCCTATCTTCGCCAAGGGGCTCTCTCTCTCTGTCTGATGGAGAATGTTGCTAAATTAAGTATCACACTACATCATGGCAGGAGGGAGCAGCTATTCTGGCTCTGGCCACTTTACTGTCTGCACACTCAAAGTTAACTAGCAGTTCCCTACAAAACTGGGAGAAGATGAACTGAAGCACTTAACCAGAAAACAAACACCCATGTTGTTATTTTATCTTGATGCATGAGTCATTCATATTGGCCAAAACAATTCTATTTTTCAAGCATTCAATCCAGTATGCTAAGATGGCGGACCATATCTTATTGCTAGCAATAGGAAATCATCAGCTTTTCCCTGGGGTGTTTGTGTGTGGGTTAGAGAAGGAGGGGTGATGACTAAGCTAAGGCCTGTGCTGTTGCCTGTTCCAGTAAACAAAGTAAGAATAACAGAGTCACATGGAATGTCTCCCTTCCATATCCTCTCTACCCAGAACCGTATATACCTCCGGGCAGCAGCCAGGCTGATGACCTCTAACCTTTGACCTTATCAGTATAGATAGAATAGAGATCAAGACCTCACAGCCTGCTGATTAATGAGCTGCTTCCTGACTGTCAGTCCCTGACCTCTGGTGTTTTCACCGAAGCTCCTGTGTGACAGATCCAGGTCATTCCCCTCTTCCTCAGTTCAGGCTGTGGAACCTCCCTGACCTCCAATCACTCTCTGCCTCCACCTTGATTGAGCTGAAGTAGTGAACTGATAACAACAACTGGAAATAGTACAATAACAAATCAAGTCATCCTGGTCTAGAACACTGTTATTTTTGTCCCATGCTATTTCTGGACTTGGTTGAGGAAAACACAATCTGGTTTTAGGAATAGAAATAAAGTGAATAGTATTGTTTCTTTAGATCAGTGTTTCTATCCTGTCTATATATTTTTCTCTATCCAGTCATATCCAAATATTTGTTTCGCCATAAGACCTAGCAGATCTGAATTTCCCCTACTATCTCTCTCCACCCAACCCCACCCCACCAGGACTCGAAGCAGGTGGTGGAGTCGTATAAGTCTGGGTTTGAGCCCCCGGGGGAAGTCGAATTTGAAGACTATGGGCCAGGCCAGTCCATGAAGAGGACTGTCTCTGAAACCAGCCTGTCGAACTCACGAGGAGAGGCAAAGGAACGACCCAGCGGGGGCAAGAGCAAGGGCAAACTGTGGCCTTTCATTAAGAACAAGAACAAGGTAACACACACACTCTCTCACACACACCTAGACCTTCGAGTATCCAAGGTCTAGCGTAGATTTGGGGAGAGGTTTTGTGACATCACTTCATTCTCCCTGGACAAGAATAATGGACAAGAATGTGCATTGTTTTTGGCCATACTGTCTGTAACATGGCTTAGATAATTGTCAGAGACTTCAGGGGACATTGTTGTAGGTTACACTGTATGTCTTGGTGTTACTGTGTAGTAAATAACAGTAACATTTGACTTTAATGTTTCTTTTGGGTTGTCATTATAGTTCTGTTGGGTTATTATTTATCGTTGTGGTAATTCTGCAGTAATTTTGGGATTACAGTACATTAGTAGTATTGTGTTATTATTTGCCACCCTTTACCTTCCCCTCCTCTGGTTACTCACTGGTCATCATCATCATCCTCACTGTCGTTGAGCCACCAACCAACTCTTAACTTTAACGTGTTAACTTAACAACAACAACCCACTAATGCATCCTCCATAACTGAGTCCCAACACTCCCTCCCCTCCTCCCTTCTTCTCCCTCTCTCTGGCGATAAACCAAACTGACAGATTAACTCACTCCTCTGCACACTGACCGTCTGTCCTGTAGCCTAATAACAGTCTCCCTCACTGACCCTCCTCTTAAACCGGGAGTCTGTCTGGAATGGCCTCTTCTCCCACAGCACAGCCCCTTGGTTATGTACGGCTAGGCTGACTAACACGGGGCCACTTGGGATGAGGGTCTAAGGTTGGAAGTGGCACCATTCGTACCTAATGGTGTCACTTCATGATAAAGCAGAGTGCTCGGGTTTGTGTGGTCGTGTGTGGCGTGTGGGTGTGCATGTCACTCACTAGCTCCGACTCCCTGCGGTTTGAGCATGTGTGTTATTTGTTTTGTGTTCGTCCAGTGATGGTGTAAGTGTGTTGTGTTCATGAGACTCTAAAGCATAAGGGACAGCTAATGACAGGGTATTTGTCCTTGCCTTTTGTGTGAGGCCATGCACATACAATATCCTGAGTGTTAAGGCGTCCACATTCCCACCCAAAACAGTTTGTGCATATATTATGATTACATTTTGTGATGTTTTTTTGATTTTGGTCTTTGGCAAGGTATGTTTTTCTGCTGTTTGTGCGCACAAAATTTTTTCTTGAGGCAAGCCGAAGTTCGGTAGCCGAAGTCTACGCCCCTCTGTCGGTGATTGGTCAACAGTAGGGATTCTTCAATTAAGTCATTCATGCAAATTTTTTAACTTGAGAAATACTGCACCAAACATCTTAGTTAGATGTGAAATTGCGCGACCAAGATCTCCTCAGCAAAAACGTCAAAATTAATGACAGATTTCTTGAGTTATCTTAGATTAATTCAGACTATTTTGAGGAAGTGTATACTGGCTACGGCATCCCAAGAGGGAGAAACAGTACTATAGCCACTTTTATTCTCGTTTTTCAAGCAAAGGTCTTTTAAGGGAGTATGCGAGCGCACTCGTTCTAACCAAAGCATTCTGACACCTTTAGGGGAACAGAATGTCCTTGAAGGACACAAACAGACACACACACACAAAGACACACACACACAGTGAAAACGTGTGAGACTTGTATCAGAGCAAAGCCAATAGGTTTTAGCATTTAGATCCTAGCCTTTGCTATATATAGAATATCTATGTCCAACTAGAACTCCTCTCTGAATTAAAAGAGCAGCGAACAATTTACTTGATTTATTTACGTTTCATTTACTTTGGTTTTAAAAGATGGGTATCCAAAGTGCTTTCATGCATGTTCTCTCACTGAGTAGCAAAGCAATGTGTCAGTACAAATTGCAGATCTCCCTCTAGTTCCCAAAGGGCTGATAGCTCATTAATTGAGCATTAAGTGGTTTGGGACTGCGAGAGTTAGGTTTCTGTGATTGAAATTCAGCAACTGTCACATCTCGGAGGATGTGGTGAATTTCTAGTCCAAGCGCTTGCATGTGATGATTTTTCCAAATAACCCACTTGCTACAAAATGGAAGCTTGCATGTGCTTTCTGAAGAACTGTCTGTTTAAATGTGTTGGGACAGTACCTTGCAATAATACTCTATTAACACTTCTAACACACTCTGTTTATAAATGTTACGACCTTCGTTTGACAAGTCGTTTTTACTTACTTCATGTTTGTTTGACAAGATTATACTACATAACAGCTGGTTACTTATGACACTGGGTTTGTTTGTGTTTGATATCTCTTTTGGTTGTGTCTGTTTCCGTTGTGGTTTTCTGTTACCTGTTTTTAACATGATTTGGGCCCTTATTTATCTCGTTTTGTGTTCCTCCCTCCTTCCTTTTTTGTCCTCTCGTTTTTTGATTCTGCCCCATTTCCTCCTCCTCTTCTTCTTGTCTTCCGTTACGGCTCCCTCTCTTACTGGTAGCTTATGTCCCTGTTAACATCCCCGCACCAGCCCCCCCCTGCCCCCCCAGCCTCCAGCCCCCCCTCACCCTCTGCTGTTCCCAACGACCCCCAGTCTCCCAAGCAGAACAAGGAGCCCCTCTCCAACCGTTTCAACGAGTTCATGGCCTCCAAACCCAAAATGACTTGCCTCCGGAGCCTGAGGCGAGGGGTAAGTGTGTGTCGTGCTGTGGGTGTTGCTGGTTGTGTGTCTGTGGGCGAGAGTGTGGTGAGTATGTGTGTGCATGCATGGGTGTGTGCTCGCCTGTCTCTGAGCTCTGTGGCACCGCTGTATGGGGGAGGTTACACTCCAGTTGGTGTTAGGCCTAAATTCTTCAGTTATCTCTTAATCATCTTTAATTGGCTATCTATTAGGTAAGTCGCTATTTGGATAAAAGCGTCTGCTAAATGGCATATTATTATATTATATTATTAGATCATCATCTTCATGATTTCCCAGTGTTCCAGAGATAACATCTCAACCTTAAAATGAAATTTGCTGGTCCAAATCTATTTTGGACAACACGGTCTATCCTCCAGCCTCCTCCTCCATACGCCGTTCTGCCTGTGTCTATATCTGTGTTACGCTTCTCTAGCATGCTTCCATAGTTCTGCTCTAGCAGAATCACATGGTCAGTCGTCTGTCTGTCTGTCTTTCCAGACATAAACTCATGAACTCTCCACCCTGTCTCCTCAATCTCCACTTTGAACTCTAAAACGTCCTTCCGCCTATCTGGGTCAAACTGAAAATCAGTAACAGTATAATGTGTTAAGATTATGCATAAAGTCAAAAGTCACAGTATATTGATTATGATGTTGCGCTGGCGCTGGCGCTGTAGGCTGATTGAGTCACTGAGTCTGTCGGGCCGGGCCTGGCTTGCTGCAGGGCTTTTTTAGACAGCAGCCCCCTGGGGTTCAACACACCCTCTTTATCCTGCAGACACACACACACACTGCAGCTATCTGGTGTCATGTCGAAGTTTTTATTCCTATATCAGCCATAACCATGATCCCTGTCCAGGTCACGCCCACAGCGCCAACAGAGCTCCCCTTGACCTCAAGAATGGGCTAACCTGCTCTCGTGTTCCTTCCGGCCTCGACTAATAAAGTTTGTTTATGTTCGTATCTTTTGAAGGGCAACAGTTAGAATGCACCAGAGCCATAGATTTCTCATAGCTCGGCCCACAACGTATGATGTCTGTGAAAGCAAAGGAACAATAGTAGTAGTAGTAAAAACAATGTTCTCTCTGTGAAATAATTGAAGGTCAGGAGAAGGAGGAAGTGGGGCGAATCTAACAGGAAGTGAACATCTCCCAAACAGGAAGTGGAGTAATGGTCATCTTCTAAACTTGGTGGCCAGGATAGTTCTATATCTGAAGCATTGTTTCCTGTCAATGTTGCAGATTCAAGTTAGTTCAATCCTGTATCACCTTTGTGTAACATTTGATGGAAGGGAAAGAAAGAAAATAAAAAAGGTCTGGTTTTTGTTTTGGTTGGGCAGGGTGACGTATTGAGCACCAGATTGCCTACAGTGAGGGAAAAAAGTATTTGATCCCCTGCTGATTTTGTACATTTGCCCACTGACAAAGAAATGATCAGTCTATAATTTTAATGGTAGGTTTATTTGAACAGTGAGAGACAGAATAACAACAACAAAAAAACAGAAAAACGCATGTCAAAAATGTTATAAATTGATTTGCATTTTAATGAGGGAAATAAGTATTTGACCCCCTCTCAATCAGAAAGATTTCTGGCTCCCAGGTGTCTTTTATACAGGTAACGAGCTGAGATTAGGAGCACACTCTTAAAGGGAGTGCTCCTAATCTCAGCTTGTTACCTGTATAAAAGACACCTGTCCACAAAAGCAATCAATCAATCAGATTCCAAACTCTCCACCATGGCCAAGACCAAAGAGCTCTCCAAGGATGTCACGGACAAGATTGTAGACCTACACAAGGCTGGAATGGGCTACAAGACCATCGCCAAGCAGCTTGGTGAGAAGGTGACAACAGTTGGTGCGATTATTCGCAAATGGAAGAAACACAAAATAACTGTCAATCTCCCTCGGCCTGGGGCTCCATGCAAGATCTCACCTTGTGGAGTTGAAATGATCATGAGAACGGTGAGGAATCAGCCCAGAACTACACGGGAGGATCTTGTCAATGATCTCAAGGCAGCTGGGACCATAGTCACCAAGAAAACAATTGGTAACACACTACGCCGTGAAGGACTGAAATCCTGCAGCGCCCGCAACGTCCCCCTGCTCAAGAAAGCACATATAATAATCTTGGGTGAGAACCTCCTTCCCTCAGCCAGGGCATTGAAAATGGGTCGTGAATGGGTATTCCAGCATGACAATGACCCAAAACACACGGCCAAGGCAACAAAGGAGTGGCTCAAGAAGAGGTACATTAAGGTCCTGGAGTGGCCTAGCCAGTCTCCAGACCTTAATCCCATAGAAAATCTGTGGAGGGAGCTGAAGGTTCGAGTTGCCAAACGTCAGACTCGAAACCTTAATGACTTGGAGAAGATCTGCAAAGAGGAGTGGGGCAAAATCCCTCCTGAGATGTGTGCAAACCTGGT